GTTTACAACAGAGTTTTATAAATTATTTCTAAGACATTAACATTTACTTCCTCAAAGAAAAGGCATAGTTCAATATTGTGTGTCACATCTTATGTTCTATTTTTAACTTTTTAAAATAATTTTTTAACTTTTAACCCTACCAAGTGTATATGGCTTAGTTAGAGCTGGAAACAAGCACAGTTTTCTTGAAAAGCTAAATCCACACCTGGTGGAAGAAGTGCCTCGATATATTTAAATGAAGGATTTCAGCTTAGTGTGCTGTGGACACCACGTAGCATGGTTCACAGAGGCAAAGAGAACATTGCTTGACCATTGGTAATCTTAAGGGATTTCCTTGTTAATCCTAACACCCGCTTATTTGACGAACTTGAAGTTTTCATGTGGGCTGCATATTATCTTTTGTTTTGAGTCTTCCTCTTTCTATTACTGCTATCAAGTTATTTTGTATATTAGAACATCCAGAAAAACACTGAAGAAAAGAGATGATAGGTTGCCTATATTAACAATTTACCTCTTAAATACATCCTTTTCTAAAAAAATCAATTTCAACATATTTACACTATAGATTTATGCCTGACCACTCATATTTCCCTAATTGATATGCTTCACTTTGCTTTTCAGAATTTTTAAAAATATTTTTGTTCTGTGTATTCTTTTCTAATTCTTTTCTTTTGAACGATAGCTTTTTTCTTCTCATCTTCAGTCCTGAAGATGTTCTATTTGTGTAAATGACTACTAAGTATGAAAGTATATAAAATATTATCTCCAGCCACATCAAGTAATGATATGGTTTATACTGAATCATTCTGTTTACAGCTTGAAGAGATTTTCATTCCTCAGAACGTCGAGTCAGAACTGAATCATAACTGACCTGCATTCGGAGGCTGGAATGGCACGGGAAGAGAGAGTCTCTTCCTTCCTGAGAGCTGCTGGTTGATTTGAAGCACCAGAGGCACCATCTTTGAATTAGTAAGACAACTTCCTATGCACTACTCCACCAGAGCTTAAGGAAATGAACATACTTTGTTTTATTTTTCAGATAGAATTCTGTGTGTCCTCATTTAAAGTAGTTCTTGTTTCTGCTTATCATACAGCCAACTGTTTTTCCACAGCAATCAGAATGGACTCTAAGATTTAAAGACTGATATGTGAAGAAATTAACTTGAAGATTAAAGAAATCGGTCAAGTGAGGTAAAAGGAATAAGTAGCCAATGATAGGATATGATCGAAATGGAAAGTGCTTGGTCAGTGAATCCACAATACTCCAGGTCACTGTGAACTCTAGAATTACCCACACTTTTACCTGTGAATATCTTCGATTACGCCACCATGAATCCTGAGCAGAAGTAAAGCACTAGCCTATGTGAATTTATATTCTAAGTATTGACATTTAAAGACGTTTTACTTTTCTGTAGTGAGTTGAATGAAAGTTAATTGTTTTTTTTACTCCTAGGCTTTTCCTATGCTTTCAGCACAGAATCATCCCCATAAAGAACTATTCTGATTCCTAAGCTGGGGTTCACCATCAGCACACCTCTGGAATGCACCAGCCAAGAGAAGTGGACAGGTGCAGTGAAAGTTCATTTTTTTATTGTTATTTGAATGAAAGTTTACAAAGAAATTGGCTTTTTGTTCCCTCATTCATACACATTTTTCTGCCCTTTCCCTCTCCCTTTCATCTTTAATGCATGCCTTGCCTGTTCTCCGTTGCTAATTGCAACATACATAATGTCTGATTTCCATAGTAATTGGACCATTTTACAATCCCACCAGCAATGCATGAAAGTTCTAATTTCTGCATCCTCATCAGATTCGGTGCTAGAAATGAGGCTTGAGAATAAAGAATTGAACTGTGTACATTCAATGATTGACTCATTGCAAACACATTTTTCAAGAAATACAAAAGGTGATATTAGACATGGATCTCACCTGAAAGTCTACACAGGCATCAGATTGACTCCAGCAGTGGAAAGAATCCCTGGAGAAGCTCAGTATCAGCAGTCAAAATCAGGTAAGGTGCTCACTGTGGAAAAGACTATCAATTATTCATGTGGAAATTCAAACTGAGGATGAAAGAAACTAGATTAAGTCCACAAGAACCAAAATATCTTTATTTTATCATACATGAATTTAAAAATCATCTTAAAAGTAGGTTTGAAGCATTGAACGTCAATGATTGAAGACCAGATTAGTTGTGAGATAACATCCAAGATGTCTTCCATGAAGAGTACAAATGGTCATTGCAAAGACAAAGGAGGGGGAAAAACTAAAATGGATTTTAGAAGAGTGCAAATGGTCATTGCAAAGACAGAGGAGGTGAGAAAAACTAAAATGGATGTCAGAAGAGACTCTCAAAATTACACTGGAGCATCAAGAAGTCAAAACAAAGCAGAGACAAACAGAAGATTTTGAAAGGCAACTTGAAAACTAAAAGAAAAGCATTGTAACAGGAGGTGCAGAGACCTGAAATTGGAGAATAAAAAGGCAAGAACTCGGATTCTCTAAAGCTGAGAGAACTTGAAACTTGAAAAACAAATTCTAGCCTCAATTTGTAATACTGAGATTATGTGATGGGAAAATTCTTGAGAGACTGGAAATAATCAATAGAAGATGGAGAGAAATACAGAATCTGTGTACCAAAGAGAATTGGCCAACACTGAAATATTTCAGGAAGTACCATATGATCAAGAGCCAATGGTAACAGAAGAAGTTCAAGCTGCACTGAAGACACTGGCAAATAATAAGGCCCTGTGAATCAACGGAATACCAATTGGCATGCTTCACCTAAGAAATACAGTCCTAGATGTGCTTACCAGTCTATACCAGGAAATTTGGATGACAGCTACCTGGCCAACTAACTTGAAGAGATCTATTTTTGTTCCCATTCTCAAGAAAAGAGACCCAACAGAATGTGGAAGTTATCAAGCAACATAATTAATATCACATGCAAGCAAACTAATGCTGACGATTAGAAGAGTCTGTGGTACCAAGGATATCATTATTGATGTCAGATGGATCCTTGCAGAAAGCAAAGAATACCTGAAGAAGGTCTGTTTGTGTTTTATTGATTATGCAAAGACATTTGAGATTGTGGATAATAAGAAATTACGGCTGACAATGAGAAGACTGGGAATCCCCAAACACTTACTTGTGCCCGTGCATAACCTGTACCTAAACCAAGAGGCTGTTGTACAAATAAAGCAAAAGCAAACAGAGTAAATAATATAAAACATGGTTTAAAATTTAGAAAGGTGTGTATCAGCATTGCATCCTTTCTCCATATCTATTTCATCTGTTTGCTGAACATATTATTGGAGAAGCTGGACTCTGAAGATTAATGTGGCAACTGGATTTGAAGCAGACTCAATAACCTTCGTTATGCAAATGACACAAGCTTGTTTGCTGAATGTGAGATAGACTTGAAGTGCGAAAGATCAAAGACTACAGCCTTCAATATTGATTGCATCTTAACGTTAGAAAAACAAAAAGCTTTACAACTGGACCAATAGGAAAAGAAGATAGATGGAAAAAAGATTGAAACTACCAATTGTTTCATCTTGTATTTACATTCAGCATATGTGGTACCAGCCGCGAGGAGATTAGCAGACATATTCACTTGCAAAGTCTGCAGTAAAGGACCTGCGCAAATTATTGAGGAGCAATGATAAAGTTGATAAAGCTGCATCTCACATACTTTGGGCATGTTGCTAGGAGAGGCTATGCCTCGGAGAGGGATATGCTTGAAACAGCAAAAGAGAGAAAGACCTTCATCCAGATGGATCACCGTAGTGACTACAGCAATAGGATAGACTCAGGTATGTCAGGGATTGTGAGGTTGGCACAGGACAGGACAGAGTTCAGATATACTGTTCATAGCGTCATTATGAGCTCTATTCACCTCAACAGCATCTAACAACAACTAAGCTCTGGTGGCCTGGTGGCAAGAAGCTGTGCTGCAATGGTGTTTGGAATCTACTCTGCTCAGTGGGAAAAGGGTGGGCAAGCCCCTCCTGTGAGATTGAACTCCCTCTGAAAAGCTGCTGGAAAACCTTTCTAATTTGATAGAATTTGTGCTTATTAGATTGTGTCCTTCACTGAATTACTGTAATAATACTACTTTAAATTTTGGCCTCAAGGTCCTGTTATCAGATTCCTCTGTTGGGTGGGTCCTCCAGGCTGAGAAACAAAGTTACTGAGACAACCAAGGCTTGTTTAGGCCAGTGGGCACAGCCCATGTGAATAGAGATAAGTGAGTCCCCTCCTCCCTCTGTGCAAGCTCTTCCCCCTTCAGTGTGATTTCACCAATGGTTCTATTGAGCATGGTGGTGTCTCCTCACCAGGCTCAGAATGTCCCAGGCCCACTCGCTGTGGATTGAGTGGGATCTTTCAGTGGGTCCCTGTGTCCTACCAGTCTAGATGGGGGTTCTCTAAGGTGAGTATTTGCTAACAGGGAGCAGAGATCCTGTTCACCTGTCAGTGGCTGTCACCTAAACAGGTAGGATTTCCTTTGCCTCCTTGCCTTTCTGTAGAGTCTGAGTCTGGTCCAGGAGCTGGTTTTACTAGGGTTTCACACACCTGCAGCATACAACTTTGCACTCTGTACTTTCCCCCTCACCTGGGCTGCTTGAAATATCTGCTCTCAGGCTGCACTCTATTTTCCTTCCTCTCTTTCTCTGTGACCACACAGGAAAGAAGTGTTTTCTCTAGGGCATTTACTGTACTATCCCACTAGAAAGACACTTAGAAGTCTGATAGTATTGGTTTGTTTACTATTATTATTATTGTTGTTGTTGTTGTTGTTGTAGTGTTTTTGTATTTCAGAAATACAAAAATGAAAACTTCTAAGAAAAAAAATATACCATCTCCTTTGTTAAGAGCCAAAAAGCTGGAAGAAAATTAAGCAATTCTTTTTTCACAAACAAAGCACACAATTCTTTCTTTCATTCATTTAGGCAATTGAACATTGCATCAAAATAATTCAATATTCTCTTGCAGGAGCCATGATTGCCTGGGATCCTGTCTTCAACCAGTCGGGCCCCACGGAGTTTGTATTCCGTGTGTTCTCCACGGTGCCAGAAATCCAAGCCCTCCTCTTCCTTCTGTTCCTCCTTCTCTACTTGATGAGCCTTGGGGGCAACACGGCCATCATCTGGGTGGTGTGCACGCTGAGCTCTCTCCACACCCCCATGTACTTCTTTCTGTCCAACCTGTCCTTTATAGAGATCTGCTACTCCACCAACGTGGTGCCTTTGATGCTCTCCAACATTCTGGGGGCCCAGAAGCCCATCCCCTTGGCTGGCTGCGCCACTCAAATGTTCGTTTTTGTCACTCTCGGCGGTGCTGACTGTCTTCTTTTGGCAGTCATGGCTTATGACCGCTACGTGGCCATCTGCCACCCCCTGCAGTACACGCTCATCATGACCCAGAAGCTGTGCGTCCAGATGGTGGTGGGTTCCATGGTGCTGGCCATCTCGCTTGCACTGTCACTCACCGGCCTCATCTTCACGCTGCCCTTCTGTGGGCGCCGCAGGGAGATCAACCACTTCCTGTGTGACGTCCCTCCAGTCCTGCGCCTGGCCTGTGCGGACATCCACGTGCACCAGGCCGTCCTCTACATGGCGAGCACCCTCGTGTTGACTGTCCCCTTCATCCTCATCTCTGTGTCCTACTCGTTCATTGCACTGGTCATCCTGCGCATCAGTTCTGCTGAAGGCCGCCGGAAGGCCTTCTCCACCTGCTCCTCGCACCTCATGATGGTCTTGCTGCAGTACGGCTGTGGGGCTCTGGTCTACCTGCGTCCCCAGTCCAGCTCCTCAGAGGATGAGGATCGCCCCTTTGCCCTCTTCTACACATTTGCCACCCCCATCCTCAACCCCCTCATCTATACCCTTAGGAATAAAGATATCAAGACTGCCCTCAAAAAGGCCATCACAGTAGCCAAGGAACAGCTGAAGGTCTCCAGTGACCCGAGTCACAGGGGCAGGTGTGTCAGAGACAGTGAGATTGGCTCAGGATAGAGTAGGTTCATAGGGATGCTAGAAGTCATTACTCAATGACACATAACCGCAATGTCCTCAGGTGATCTGAGTGTACAGATGAGAGAGCAGTGAAAATGAAATCCTGACATACAAGTGCCATATTTACACTTCGTTCTCTGTGTTTTTGTTAATTCTCTGTGCCTATTATTTATTTTTTTTTAACAGAGACTCTTGGTGTCATAACACATCAAGGTGGGTAGTTAGACCAGCTGTTTGAAGGAAGAATGATGAGCAATCTACTTCCATGAAGACTGTCAGCCTCGGAAACATGCTGGAGAGTCATGATGAGTTAGAATTGCCTGGATAGCAGTGGGGTTTTGGTAAAAGCTGACAAAATTCCCATTTGCTTACTTTGAGCATGTTATTATCAGAAAAAAGCCAATCCCTGGAAAAAAGACATCATGCTTGGTAAAGGAAGGAGTCCTTGAAAAGGAAGAAGTCCCTCAGGAAGATGGATTGAGAGAATGTCTGTAAGCATGGGCTCAGGCACAG